CTAACACCCCAGTGTGACCAGCACTCAGGACCATCACCCTACCAGTATCGAGGGCAACTTGGATGAAGCACCCCCTAACACTACAACCCCTACCCCCCTTTTCAAAGTTTCTGGGTGGGAAGTACCGTCCCTACCCTGCCACTAACAACCCCCCTCTTCAAAGTTCTTGGGCAGAACATCAACGTTTGCAGAAAGCCAGGTACGTTGTTGTCAATGTCTGCTGAAGCCCGTGCTGAAACTCCACCACTAACACCCTCACCATAACCCCCCCAACGCCCGACCCTCAACCCCTGAAATACCCCCCCCCCAACCCCCGCAACCCTCCAAACGAAAGTTCTCTGTTCAAAGTTTTCTTTGCGGATTCGGGGAGATCTCGGTGAGCGCAGTCCAACCATGTTTTCAAAAAAAAAAAATTTTTTTTTTTGACCCACTTTTGGACCTAACCGGAATTCCGGTTGGACCACCGGGGGTCCATCCGGGCCGGTCCAACCGGTTGGATCCGGGCCAGTCCAACCGGCCGGTTGCCGGCACAGCCATGGTGTGCTCTAATCAATCAATCAAGACTAATCAGCTACCTAGTCCCCGCACACGTGTCAGATCAGGTTGTCCTGATGCACGTGCGGTGTTCCGATACCAACTGTTACATGCCCAGTTGGTCGATGTACATACAAACCGAGGATCCGCAATGTGATAAAAAGGACTGAATGGACAATGCAGTGCAAGTAGAATCTCAACCAGCAATGTGCATTCCGATACATACAAAATGGTGCTTTATAGCGCAGGGAGGACTTAGATACAAGACCTGACCTGACCGAGACTGACCTCTATCACGTAGTACAAGATAGCAAAGCAGAGTGCTAGAATACTAGTGACTAGCCCAATCAATGTTTCAACGCAGACCAAACATACATCATGCTCATCACAAGGTGTGAAGGGAGCCTGGCGCTATACACAGGGAAGAAGCGCCAGGTCCAGACATACACAGACGAAGAGGAGGGGATCAGACGAAGAGGAAGGGGGAGATGGGAAAGTCGTCAACACCAAGTCTCGTTACGAGTCCCAAATAATCCCTCTTCAAAATGTCTGAAGTCCAATGTCGAGTCTGGATCCGAATGTCACCAAGCTCTCTCTCTCTCTCTCTCTCTCTCTCTCTCTCTCTCTCTCTCTCTCGCTCGCTCGCTCGCTCGCTCGCTCGTAGTCTGCTGATGCAGTGAAATCAGACAGTGAGAGGGTGAGAAGGAGATGGCGGACTGAGAAGAGGAAGAAGAAGAACTCTCTTTCTCACGAGCCAGGTACTAACCTGTGAAGTTGGCGCTGTGCTGCAGGTACCTCGAAGACGAAGCTGGAGCGACGGCGCTGCAGGTAAGTATCCCTGGCCTCCGCCCAATCTCTCTCTCTCTCTAGTACTACTCTAGCTATGGCGCCCAGCGCCGAAGACTACACCTAACGCTACTAGCGCCCAGCGCTGAAGACTGCTGCTAACGCTACCACTACTCCTGCAGCGCTCCTCCAGAGTGCTGCTGCCGAATCCTGAAGACTACTGACTGCCTCCTGCCTGCACGTGAAGTGCCTGGGAGGTACCTAGGAACTACCTCCCAACTACCTGCAGCCTGCAGGGCGGGCCAGTCTTATATAGTGCTGGCCCGTCCAGGAGGCTGCTCTTGCCAATGCCAAAACGTGCCAGACCCTGGGGTTGAAGCTCAAACAAAGGTTGTATTCAAAATAGGCCAAAAATGGCCTGAGCTAAAACCCTGGTCTGGTGCCTGAGTTTCAAGGCAGGTCGAACTGATGAGGGCCTGGAAATGGCCCTCAGTTTCAGGCTGAAAATACTCAGGGCCGGAAAGGCCCTGATTTAGCCTGAAACGACACAGGGCCTGTAGGCCCTCGTTTTCAGGCTTTCAGGCTGAAACGACA